CACCACAAAAATGAAAACTATATGAGGTAATGCATTTGTTAATCAGCTAGATTTATCCATTTAATAATGTACATATACCTCAAAACATCATGTTGTACAAGATAAAAACATACAATGTTATCTGTCAATTTAAAAAAATAAATAATAAAATAAAATCTCAAGCTCTTTACTTCTTGTGTCCCTTCTACTTACCTAACATGCTTAGACTCTGCTCTATGACCCCTGTTTTTATCATCTTTTTTCATTGTCTTTCCCCTCCATGACCTCCTTAAGCATTTTTTTCCTACGAACCTTTTTATTTTTCACTTAATGTTCTTTCTCGTCTTGTCTAATTCCCACTTGTCATCATTGAGTTTTCATTTTTTCAGTAGTAGTTATTGCTCTTCTTCTGCTAATTCTGTCTTCTCTTTCTCCCAGCCTCAGCTTTCTGCCCTGCTTTGCTTTAAATCCTACCTTCATCTACTGCTCTGCTACCTCCCAATTCTGTTACAAAGGGATGTCCAACCTCATTGCATCATTCCTCCTCCACCTTCTGCCCACCACTTCCTTTTATTTCCAGGACTGTCCATTTTTTATTATGATAAAACCATATAATGTAAAATTTGCCATCTAAATTATTTTTAGTGTGCAACTCAGTAGTGATAAGTCTATCCATATTGTTGTGAAACAGATCCTCAAAACTTTTTTATCTTGCAAATTTGAAACTCTGTACCCACTACCAGCAACTCCTCCAGACTGTCTTTTAATGGATGAAGCTCGCCTAGTCTGCTGGAAAATTGAGATTATTCCTGCCCTTTCCCCAGGCTACCCACTCTCTATTCTTGCTTTTAGAAACTGCAGAATTAGCCATTTTCTAGAAATGGAACTCACTGGAAACTTCAAAGCCCAGTTAGCAGATGGAAGGCTGCTGCAGGGCCTGTCCCTTTCTTTATACCCACACCTATCTGGAGGCCTTTGGAAAGGCTGTGAATGCCAGTCCAGTGTCAACTGCAATAGTCAATAAGTTTGCAGTACCCATCCACCAAATGGTTAGACAAAATGTAAATCTGGAGATTCACAACATCCTGTGCCTTGGACTTCTTGAAAGAAAGTCCAGATCTGAAAGTCCAGGTCTTGAATGAAAGTCAGTGGTCTGAGCAGAAGAAATGTCTATAATATGCATGTGTGCATCAATGGAACAACAAAATTTTGATGTAACTTGGAAAAAGCTGACCCTAAGTGGGCATGCTATTGTGTTGTGCTCCATTTAACATGAAAGATACCTTTCTTTCCCTCTCTCTGTTCTCATTAATGTCTTTAAATTTACAAAGCAGTGGATGAGGGAAGTTACTTGAATGAAATAAAATACCAGAAAGTTATTTGGTCAGGGATGCTATTTTCCCTGATAGGATCAGATAAGTGATAGGAAAACTGTTGACTTTCTGAAAGACGGTGTCAACCACTGTCTTAAACAATGGATACACATCATATGGTAGCAAATCATGTTTTTCCTCAAACTTTTAATTGGGCAGTTTCACTATCTAAAATACATAAAGACATTTAAACCTTAAATACTATTAGAAGCAGATACAAAAATTTGAAGCTGATATTTGCTGTGGGGAGGAGAGTAACATGTAATTTCTTGACTGCTCTAAAAGCAGAAATAATCACATACATAATAAAATATCACAGCTGAATAAGAATTATACTTATCCACTCTAATTACAATGCCTATACCCAGTTCATACGAAAATAACAAATCGTTCCAAATGCGTAGCATGACACAATTCAATAACATCCACAGTTGTAGTTGCTGCTAACACTACCTGGACAGAGGGCAGTGTTATTGCAAACCCTTGATTCTCTTAATGGGCCGCTGCAGTGTGTCCCGTAAGGTGATACACAAGTTCTGGTTCGCACCTGCGACCCTTGACCACAAGTAACTGAGCATGTGCTCCACTGGGACCACTCTTCCACACCAGATTCACCTGTGTGCAAGACAACAAATAAACATGAAATACTGTCTTACATATTCATCTGGTAAGCATTATACCAAACTGACATTATGACATGCAAGAAAAATTTAAATGTAAAAATATGACAGTACATCAGAAGGTACATGAAAACATTTCAGAGCAAAAGAAATTTAAAGAGGGATGCATAAAATGCTGATGCAAAGACCAAGTTTGCTATAGCCTTGTTAGCAAAATACCCTTCACAAATTACACTGTGCAAAGGACACCATAAAGGAACTAGTCAGCATTTTTCAGTATGAATAACTGTTGAAGTGATTCTCTTCAAGCCTATCTAAGACTTTGTACTTTAATGGGAAAGGAAGCAAAGTGTATTTTTAAGCTTACTGTATGGCTTTGGTGGGCAGAAATATACTGATGTGTTCTTCCCTAGTCCTTTACTGCGTAATATCCTTTCTAATGCTAGATGAGGTCAAGCATAGGAGTTTGGGCACGTCTAATTTTTATCGTGTTGAGCACTGACACTTATTTATAATTTATTCCTGGTAAAAGTCCTACTATTTCAGTCTATGACAGCTATGTATTTTGTGGTAATTTATTAAAATCTTTCTGCTCACAACTTTAGCTATGATTTAGAGTAGTGATTTTTACTCGAAATTAAGGAAAATTCTCCATAACTTCTATTAATTTAATAGGGTACTAAAATTTACTCAAAAATGGGGCTCTAAAAAGCCAATGAATACCTGAATTCATTAATTTTCTTGGAGTTAGCATCGCATTGAAACTATGTCTAATTTCCATTATTACCTAAAGTAATGTCCCAAGGACACTTAAAGTCAAACATTTCTAAGAC